TGGTGCACTCGTAGGCGCTCAGAGCCAATTTCCACCGGAAGGACGGCTTCGGCACCATACACCAATTCAAAAGGTGAATAGCCCGTTGCCTCTTTTTCAGTTGTCCGAAGGGACCAAAGGGTTCCTGGGAGCTCCTCCAGCCACTTGGACTTTTGATCTTCCACCCTCTTCTTGAGGGCATTTAAGATCTGTTTATTTGCAGCTTCGGCTTGTCCGTTACTTTGCGGGTGGCATACCGCTGAATATGCCAGTTTGATGCCGAACTGATCTGTATACCGCTTCAGCGGTAAGTTATCAAAGTGCCTCCCATGATCGAAGACAAATACTCTCGGGATGCCAAATCGAGTGATGATATTCTGCCAGATAAATTTTTTGACAGTTTGCTCTGTAATGTTCGAGGCTGCTTCGGCCTCGATCCATTTACTGAAGTAGTCGACACCAACTATCAGCCATTTTTTCTGGTACACAGCCTCTGGAAATGGTCCCAGTATATCCAGTCCCCATTGGGCGAACGGGAGTGGATTAAGGATCGGCTGAAGATCCCTTGCTGGCTGATGGATAACTAGAGCGTACTTTTGACATTTTTCGCATTTCCGAACTAGCTCCTTAGCATCTGCGATCATGGTGGGCCACTAATATCCAGCCCTCAATGCCTTGTGGGCTAAGGTCCTTCCCCCAATGTGGTTCCCACAGATGCCGAGGTGAATCTCCCGTAGGATATAATCTGCATCTGTTGGTCCCACGCATTTCAGCAATGGGGCTGAGAAGGACTTTTTCAGAAGTTCCCCCCTGAAGACAATGAACCTAGAGCTGGTTCTCTTTATCTTGGAGGCCAAAGCTTTATCTTCGGGAGTTTCTCCCCGAAGCTTGAAAGCTAGGATGGGGTCCATCCAACTAGGCTCTGGGTCAGCGCAGCACACTTCAGGTGCTTCGTCGACACTTCTCTCTCGACGCACTTCTACATATACAGATCTGTTCAGCTCGGTAAGAGATGAACTGGCAAGTTTGGAGAGTGCATCGGCTTGAGTATTCTGACCCCTTGAGATCAGCTGAACCTCAAAAGTTTTCAGCTCTGCAATGACTGACTTAATCTTGGCAAGATAAGCTATCATGGAGGGCTCTTTGGCCTCGTAGGTGCCGCTGATCTGATATGCAACTAGCTGAGAGTATGTTTTCAGGCAGACATGATCGGCTTCCAGGGAGATGCACAATTCTAGGTCGGCGATTGCTGCCTCATATTCGGCTTCATTGTTCGAGGCCTTAAAAGAAAATTTTAGTGCATACTCAAAGGATTTGCCTTCGGGAGAAGTTATCACTACTCCTGCCCCCGAACCGTTTTCGGTGGAAGATCCATCCGTAAACACGGTCCAGACTTTCTTTTCATTGTCTAGCGCTTCTTGGTATGGGCATTCGGCCAAGAAATCCGCTAGAGCTTGAGCCTTAATGGCAGCCCTCGGACGGTAGCTGATGCTGAATTCGGTGAGCTCAAAAGCCCACTTGGCTAGCCTACTAGATTTTTCAACCTTGCCGAGAACTTTTTCCAACGGCTGATCAGTTAAGACCACTATCTGATGGCAATCAAAATAGGGCCTCAGCTTCCGAGCAGCTACTACTACCGCGAAAGCGACTTTTTCGAGTAGAGGATAGCGAGTCTCGGCATCCGTCAGTGTATGACTAACGAAGTAGATCGGTTGCTGACTTTTACTTTCTTCCTTCAACAATACTGCGCTGATGGTGGCTGGGCTAACGGCCACATACAGGTACAAAGTTTCTCCTTCAGCCGGGCTAGCCAGCGTTGGGAGTTGAGCCAGATGCTCCCGAAGCTGTTTAAAGGCGTCTTTTTGCTCTTCCTCCCAAACGAGCTCTTTTGTTTTCTTTCTCCTCCTCATCCTTGTCGTCATCTGGGCGACTACTGGATGGCTTGAGGTAGTTGCACCTTCGGGCGTCCTTTTGGTTGCCCTGTATCCTTTCGGGGAAGCCGGCGTCTGAGACGTAAATCATCAGCTGATGATAAGTTGAGACGACCCCTTGGATCTCATGAATTATGGGTCTCCCCAAAATCACGTTGTACACTGAAGGAGCGTCAATGACCAAAAATTCAATCATGACGTTCCTGGCTGCCTCATCGCAGCCGATGGTGACAGGAAGTGTCACCTTCCCATCTGGATAAGTTGAAGCCCCGTTGAACCCGGATACCGGGTAGGGTACCGGCGTAAGGTGCTTGGGCTTCAGCTTAATTTGATTGTAAGCCTTTCGGAACAAAATGTTTGCTCCGCTGCCACCGTCAACAAGGACCTTACTAACGTCGTGGTTGGCCACCGTGGCGATGATCACCGACGGATCCTCGTGAGGAAACACTATCCCCCGGCAGTCGGCGGCTGTGAACGTCATGTTCGGCACCGGCGACTGGGGAGATTGAATGTCAGCGTTATTCACCTGGTGAGTCAAAGCTCTAAGGTGTCTCTTGTGCTCCCTCCGAGAGTATATTCCTCCCGAGATAACATTGATCGGAGGGAATTTCCCCTCCGTCTTTTTACTATTCTTCCGGGGGAAGTCGAGGTCTTGCCGAGAGTCCTTTGCTGACTTCTCGGATTCTTTTTTCTCGCGGTGATCCACGATGTATTTTTTCAAGTATCCCTTCCGGACCATGTCCTCTATCTGATCTTTCAGTTGGATACACTCCTCAGTGTTGTGTCCCGAAGACTCGTGGAACTCGCACCACTGATTTTTATTTTTTCGCTGATACCACTCTGGGAGTGGTCTCGGCTTTCGGTAACTCTGCTCCTCCTTCGTCACGCTGTAAATTTTGGCGCGTGGAAGAGAGAGCGGAGTGTAGGACTCGTATCTGCCTGTGTATGAGGCAGATTTTTCCTTCTTTGGGTCGCTGGCCGAAGATTGCTCCGAGGCCTTTGACTTTCCCTTTGCCTTATGGCCTTGGCCTTCAGACAAGGGTATTTGTCTTTGTTTCCCTCCCCCAAATTGAGGTTGGGTTTTCGCTTTGTTCCATTCTTCGGCTCGGATGAACTTATCCGAGGCATTCAGAGCTTCCTCCAAGGTCTGCGGGGTATGCATGACCATGAAGTCTAGGAACTTTCCGGGCTGAAGGCCATTCTGCATCGCAAAAACGGCTAACCCCTGGTCCAGCTGAGAGACGCTGGATGACTCGTTACTGAAACGGGTCAGATAGTCTCGGAGGCTTTCGATTTCCCCCTGTTGCAGACTCATTAGTTCTGCAGTAGTCTTCTCTCGGCGGTTTGCCGTGGAAAACTTGCTCCTAAATTTGGAGGACAGATCATCCCACCCTGTTATGGAGCCTTGCTTTACTCCCTTGGAGATCCACGCTTGCGCGACCCCCTTGAGAGTGGTTGGGAAATATTTGCACCAAGTCGCTTCGGATCTGGGGCAAAGATGCATATGAGTCTCATACGAGGCCACGTGATCCTTCGGATCCGAGGTCCCGTCATATGTGATGTGCGACGGTATTTTAACCGTGGGCACGCGCTCTTCCAGTATCCGTTGCTCGAATGGTGAACTGGCGGGTAGCATAACGGCCTTGCCCTTGTTCCTGGCCAAAGGGACCGCGCTCCGCCCTCTTAGAGAGGTAGGAGTGGTTTTCGTCCCTGGCTGGGAAGTCTGGGCCTCGGCTGCAGGGAACGAGAGGCGACTGCGCACGCTCGGTTCCTTGCCGCCGAGTCGGTCGAGAACGCTTCGGCGAACAGTCTCAGGTTCTCGGTGAGTAGATTCTGGCCGAGAAGCTGAGCTGCTGCTCTTATGCGCTTCTGGTCGTGAGGATGAGGATCCTTTTAAAAATTGAGGGTTCTTTTTCCTCTCTTTTTCATTCTTCCAGGTATCCTCTTCCCACTCTTCCAGTTCCCGGAAGGAAGGAAGCTTCCCACCATCATGGTCTAGCTTCCTCCGCTGATGCCGGGTATACGGAGGAGTTCGATCACGAAGTGGTGGCATATTTTGTGCCCTCATCGCCTCCATGAGTACTGTCAGCGCTCTTGCCACCTCTTCCGAGCTGGGCCCCGTCAAAGGGGTCCTCGGCCGAGTATGGGAATGAGGGCGCACAGCCGATGGTTGGCTTTGGGGCACTGAATGTGTCCTATGATCGGACTCACCCCTGCTAGACCGAGAGTGACTCGGCCTATGATGAGAGTCATGAATTACGGGAGAAAGGGAATCCTCCTTGTATGATCCTCCCCCCGAGCTGACACCCTTGGGAGAGTTCCGGTCCGGCGAGGGTGATGGTGTAGGGGTTTTAGGCTTTTCGCCCGCTCCTTGACGGAGGCCCTTGCTCTTGCGGTTCTTAGCCATTGCTACTAAGATTATTGCAAGATGATCTTGGTTAGAAATTTGGCTTAAAGATTTTTGAAAGTCTTCCCCACAGACGGCGCCAAATTGTTTCGGGTGAAAACAATGGGACCTTGCCGAAGGTCCGCTGAAACGGAGAAGACTGGATTCGGTCCAAGTAATGTTGGGCCGAAGGTTTCCTGCACAGTAAACACACGTAAACTAGCCTCGGGGGTGTTGCCGAGGAAGGCCCCTCCGATGCTAAAGTCAGTACAATGTGTAGAAAGAGAACGCTATACAAGAGAATTAGTTGCTTGAGGCTTTGCTTGAATATATGAGAATATATGAGAATATGTGAATGAATGTGAATATATGAATATTGATGGCTTTTATACCTCTTCATACATGGAGAAGTTGGGCCTTAGCCCAATTGGCTTGTTTTGAGGGCTGACCTTTGACTTTAGCACAATTGGAGAGTTGAACCTTGACCTTGGGCTTTTAATTGGATCATTTAATGCCTAGGCCCAATTGGACTAAATTGGACCCAAACATATGCTTTCAGAGTATATAGATGTGAGGGTAAATGTGTCAAAATTAAGGACTTTACTTTAAGGAAGTTTTTAATTTATAAAACACAACAAAAAAGATAAAAGGAAAAACACAAAAAAATGAAATACGTAACAACAGAAATGAAAAAGAAGGATTACCTTTTGTTCTCCTATTTGTATAATAGCACATAATGTGAAACCCATTGATCAGATGGCTGGAATTGAAACGATAGTGGTTCGGCATTTAATCTAAAAAAAGCCCAGAAATCTCCGCTTTTATAAGGAATACATTGATATGCACCTGAATTCTTATAGTTTGAACTCTACGATTTATAACCCTGACCCAATCCAAACAAGCTTGTATTGATTACCTAATTGGGAGAAACCGCTTTGTTGTTAGTTCTTCTGATGGGTTAGTGTGTTTGTTTAATTTTTATTCCCTGAATCCGGTTAATACACCGTTGATTTTATGGAATCCATCGATTAAGAAGGCAATTGTTGCTTCTGTTCCTGTTCTTGAGAATTTGGAATTCATCTCTAGTGGGTTTCCGAAATTGATTTTCAGGGTCGGATTCGATTCGTGTTCAAATATTATGAGGTTGTTCATATCGTCTATTTTAATGGTGATGTGAGGAGCACTACTTTTCATATTGATGTGTATCATGTTGATGATGATAAATGGAGGAAATTGGGGGCGACAGTGATGCTTCACAATATCACCACCATTAGATGGAGAGGAGTGTGATTAAATGGGGTAATTCATTGGATTTGTAATGCATATGCATATGCGAATATGAATAAGAATTCGGATGTGAATGGGAATCAAATTCGATGTAATTCATTCTTTTGGTGAATTAATTACCTCAAATTCATCGTTTCCAACTTCAATGCCAAAATAAACTGATGAACTCAATGCACATCAGAATTCATCCGAATTCGCATTCACTTTCAAATTTGCATCCGCATTACAAATCTAATGAATTACCACATTCAAACATACCTCTCTCCGTCTAACGGTGGTGATATTGTGAGGCACAACCGTCATCCCCAATTTCCTCCATTCATCATCACCAACATGATACACATCAACATGAATGGTTAGTGCCTTACCTTCACACACCATCATTAAAATTGACAATCCGAACAATCATATAATTATTCAAACACGAATCGAACCTGACCCTGAAAATCAATTTCGGAAAACCCACTAGAGGTGAATTCCAAATTCTCACGAACGGGAACTGAAACAACAATTGCTTTCTTAATTGATGGGTTTCCACAAAATCAATGGCGTATTAACCAGATTTATCGAGTAAAAATCAAATAAACACATCAACTCATGAGCATAACTAACAACAAAAGCGATTTTCTTCCACTTAGGCAATCGATATCAACTAGTTTGAATTGGGTATCAGGATTATAAACCAAGAATTTCAAACTATAAGATTTCAAGTGAATAATGGATTACTTAAAATGCTGAAATTTCTGGGATTTTTTAAAATTGAATGCTTAACCATTGTTTTAAGTTTGTCACCAGATCAACTCATGCTTTTAAACTGTTTACTTTTGTACAACATGTTAAGTTTCCACTTCACTATGACGTGGATGAATTTATTTAATTATATCTTTTGTTCTGTTCATACATTAATTACCTAAAACTAAAACTATGTGTCAGTCATAGTAACTATTATAAAAATAGCTTTAATATAATAGTTCCCCTCGCTTTGTTCTTTTTTAGTTGACAAATTTTGATTTTAGATACTATTCACACACTATACTTTGACTATTTATAATAAAAACGTAGTGATGTGGGGTCTTATTAGGATCATCTCAATTTATAATATTATATATTTTTACTCATTGATCGATATTTAAAGATATTAATCATTAAACTTGTACGTTGGTTAACGTGATAAAAGAAACGCGTCAACTATAAAAGTAAGATGCAAGTGAGGTGGTTGGGAAACTAAAAAAAAAAATGGAGGTAATAGTTTATTACAAAAGTAAGGAATATGAGAAGGAAAAAAACAATTACAAGTAAAATTTCTTTTACAGTGTATTAAATATGTGTAGGGTCGCCCTTTTTTTCAAACTCTTTCTAATGATTACCTTGTTATGTCATTTTCTTTATATCGTACGGTTTTTTATAACGATTCATGTTAGCTGACCCCAAATCATTTTGGGACTAAGGCGTTGTTGTTGTTTTTGTTGTTGTTTGTTGCTGCTGTTGCTACCATTGTTGTTGTTCAAACTCTTTCTAATGATTACCTTGTTATGTCATTTTCTTTATATCGTACGGTTTCTTATAACGATTCATGTTAGCTGATCCCAAATCATTTTGGGACTAAGGCGTTGTCGTTGTTTTTGTTGTTGTTTGTTGCTGCTGTTGCTACCATTGTTGTTGTTGTTGTTGTTGTTGTGTTGTTGTTGTTGTTGTTGTTGTTGTTGTTGTTCTCTGTGTGTGTGTGTGTGTGTGTTGCTACCATTGTTGTTGTTGTTGTTCTCTCTCTCTCTCTCTCTGTGTGTGTGTGTGTTGCTACCATTGTTATTGTTGTTGTTCTCTCTCTCTCTGTGTGTGTGTGTGTGTGTGTTGGGACAATGACAAAGAAGAGAGTAACATAATATTATAATTAAGAATTAGGCCCTATTCACTTCACCTTATAAAAATAATATTCAATTAAAAATAAAAAAATTAGTTCAGTAAAAATCAGTAAATATAAAGAAGAAATATAATAGATATTTAGTAAAAGTAATTTCAATTGAGCAAAAATAATTTTAGTTTAGTAAAAATAATTTCAGTTCAGTAAAATTAATTTCAATTTCGCAAAAATAATTTCAGTTGATTCAAAATAATTTCAGTTCAGCAAAAATAAGAAAGTGTATCAATTAAACAATAGCCACATTAGGAAAGTGTAACACTTAAAAACCGGATTTGACAGAATACTTGCAACACTTCTTATTTTACGTTTTTCAATATATTACCTGCAACACTTTGATATATTCATATCTCTTAATTTCAATAACATAAAAACATAAAATTTTGATATATTCCGCAATAAAATTATAAATCATGATGAACACACAACTATATATTTTGTTAGGTAGAAATCATCAAAGGTAGTCCATCTTATGTGTATAGTGATAAAGTCAAAGTGTTGTAGGTAATCCCGTAAAAAATAAAAAAAATAAAATGTTGAGGGATGGTAATCTTGATGCTCACCACTTCATTAAGCTAGTTATTGTTCGGAGTTGAACAAGTGTGGGAAAACTTTTGTCCACAAGAAATCTCTCCATAGAAACTGTTAATTAGACAATCTTTCTTCTAGTTAATGTTAGCTTGGTTTTCCTCCAAAAAAAATAAAATATTGTAGTAGTTTTACAAAGGACACAATGTGCTGATTCAATTAGCATATAATTGAAGTGTAGACGTGTGAATTGTGAGTAGAATAGTCTGCCTTAAACCTCTAATTAATTTTTTTAATCCAAAAACTAATAAAGCTTGGTAAGGCTACCCAAATGGACAAAATATACTAGTAAAACTCCTTATAAACAAAAGGTTAATTTGAAAATAACCACCTTTAACAAATCACTACTAGTTATGTATAACCACTTTCAAAAGAAAAAAATATAGCTTTTACCACCACAAAACGGTTTTTGTTTCAATGCATGCAAAATAAGGCATTTATGTTTACAATTCTAAGCTCGATTTGGATCCTTTTAAAGCCAAAATGGCCCCTAAAACCTTTTTCTCGGCTAAAAAAATATAAAGACACACAATTCGATATATTTTTTAGCAAGCAAAACGAGTCATCTTTGTTGCTTTTTTTACGATTCTAAGCTCAATTTGATCCCTTTAGAATCAAAATCCCCCCAAAAGCCCACTAACGGTTATGTCCGTTATGTGATGGTAAAAGTTATACCTTTTTTTTTTCTTTTAAAGGTGGTAAATACAAAATAATTAAGTAAGGTGTTTAACTACTAATAAATTAATTATGTTTTTTAAATGTGATTATTTTCAAATTATCTTAAATAAATTTTTTAAAAAAAAATCGATTTTTGTAACTAAATATTCCGACAAAGTGAATCATGAATTAATTTTTTTTTATTTTTTTTATCTATTTATTTATTTATTTATTGAAAGGTGTGAACGAATAAGAAAACATATGACTAAATATTAGGGAAGTAGGGAGTAGTTTTGTTTACAGGCATCTTCAACAATTACAACATAAGTTCTACAAAATGACAAAATTTAAATGGCAAATCCAAATTAGGCAATTACCAGTGTCTCTCTTTCTTGAGTAGTGCGGTGCATGAACCAACATAACCCATGTGATACCAAATTTCTCATCGCAAAATGCTTAAGATTTTATACATATAGAGCTTTCTATTCCAAAGAGATAGACAAAGAATACTCTACTATCACTAGATTCGATACGTTTATAAGGTTTGGTAAGTTGATGGTGAGCTAATCGTTTGATTAGACATAGAAAGTATTACTCTATATTAAAGTTGCATATCAAGGGAGTTTCGTTCCTTGAGATTGTAATACCCCGTATTTTTATACATATTTTAATTTAAATTATTATTTTATAAAGCATTTAAATAAATTTAAAATGAATTATTTATAATATTTTATTGATTTTAAAAAAATTATTTTAATTAAAGGTCCATTTTTATTTATTTAATTATTTTGAAAATATTTTATTTTATTATCTAGAAACTTTGGGTCATATTATTTTATAAAAGGAAAGTTAAAGTCAATGGTATTTAAAGAAAGTTAAAGGACTAATTTTTATAGGAAAAGGGATCATTAAGGGTAGAAAGGGAATTTAAGCTTATGAGGCTTTTAGAGAGAGCCAGAGAGGGTAGAAATACCCACCTTATAAGCAAATTAGATTTTGCCCAATGTGGAGAATACCCAAAGATTAACTCTCTTTCTCTCTCCTCTTGTTTTCTCTCTCCTTTAATTTTCCCCCTCCCTTTTAATTTACACACATCACCACACACACACCACCACCACGGTGGCTGACTGCCACCACCACCATAGCCGGCCGCCGCCAGCACAGGGCCGGCAGCAGCAGCAGCTGCGGGGAGGTGGCGCCAGCCACTCTCTCCTTCCCCCTTGTTGTGCATGTGTTTTTTTAAAAAAAAAAACACTTCTTTTGTTTTAAAATTATTCTAGCCTTGATTCAATTATTATTTTTGGGTTTTGTGATGATTTTTATTATGTTTGATTATAATTATTATGTATATAATTTTCAAATTTAGTTTTTGAATTAAAAAGCCCCAAATTGAAAACCTTAGGTTTCTAAATTAATGTGTGTTGATGGAAATTGATTGTAGGTGATTGAAACTAATAAATTAGATGTTTTTAAACATAATTACAGCAATTTAACATGTTTTTATAAAGCTGGAATTTTTATATAATGGTTAAAATTGTGTTTCTTGAAAGGATTTTTAATTACCCATTAATTGGGAATAAAAGTAAGGGTTCAGCTTGTTTTAGAGGGGTTATAAGTGATTTAAAAAGTGTATATATTGCTGGAAATTTATATTGAATAGATATTAATGTCTCTTTGTAATTTTGGGTTGTAGGAGATTTCCAAGTGAGTGATTTTGTGTAGTCATGGAGATTTTGAAATCATATTCAAGGTACGTTCGCGTACTCGATAATTATTTAAGTGTATAGAAACATGATAGACTATGTTTAATTAATTCCAATGTAGTATCATGATAGGTGTTGGTTGGAATTGTTGATTGGATTGATGTTGGTGATTGATTTGTAAAGTATGAATTATTTATGACGGATTGATAATTGAAATTAATTATGTTGGCATGTTGAGTATGAACTACACTTTTATTATTGGTATGATTGAGAGCATGTTTAATCAAACTAATTGTTTAATTTGGTTTGGAATATAAAAAGGGAATTTTATTGTAGTTCATATAATTTTTATTGATGTTTTAAGCATGAGGATTGAGCTATCAAGTGTCTTAGTACACAGGAATAAAATATCGTGTAGTGCCTATGTGCACTTAAGGTGTTCTAAACACCGAAGGATAGGATTTGCGGTGCTTTATGCACTTAAGGTGTTATTTAACACCGAGGTAGTTTAAAAAGGATTTAACATTAACTTATATGGTCACTAATTATTCAAGAATTAAATTGGTATGTTTGGTTGCTTGAGTGATTTATTATGGTTGATTGTGTTATGGCTTAAGAGTCGTCACCAAGTCTAAAAATATGTAAACAACGTAAAGTGAAAGAGATTTCACACCAAAACTCTTGGGACGCATATACCTTGAGTACGAACATATGGGGGGAGTTATGGGGTTTTATATTTAACCATGACTTCTACTTGGAGTATAGGACACTATATTTTCCTTTTTATTATGCGCCGGACGTCCAGTCACTTCATGTGGCATTTGCCTACCCGGTTAGCTCTCGGTGTAGTTTACCTCAATTTAATTGAGGCAAAGATTTGGTGGAAAACCCGTTCGATGCGTAATCAAATTAAATAAGCAATTTATTTATCTGTTTCTTTGTTGATTGTGTTGTGCTTGAAAACAGGTGCAGCAAGGTAGGTTGTGTGTTGATAGGAATAAAGCATGGTAGTGTACGCTTATGTACTCAGCATTGCTGATTGTGTGTTGAATGTTTGTTTTGCCTTGTTTTTATCTTGGCCCTACGACGACCCATTTCTAATGGTGAGTAGTGGGGACAAAGTAGAGAGAAGCTTTTCAGATGTGGAAGCATATTCATGATGGGCATGAGTGAAGAACGAATCATATTTAGTTTTCATAAGAATATGATGTGGTTTGTTGCTTTAATTATTATATATTTTGCTTGTGAGACTAACGCAAAGGTTTTCAAATGTTTTATCTCGGTTTTAATAAGGGCCTACAATGGTTCCAAGTTGTAGGTTGAACTTGTTTGACTTTACTTTCATTTGTTTGATTTTTTAAGTTGACTTGTTTTGAATGGTTTTAAAGAGTCTTTCGCTGTGTGTCTTTGATATTTGCCTTAGCCGTTTTCACGGTGGCGGTAATGTCTTAAAATTTCCTATTTCGTATTTTGAAAGGGCAAAACAGATATTTTAAAGGAAAGAAATTTCTAGGGTGTTACAGAGATGGACCTAAATTTTTTCGGTTAAATTCAGGTGTTTTACAAGATGATCCTACTTGAATATGTTAGGTAATATAAAAGTCAGTATCATATCCACGTAAGTCATTGACAACATCAAAAGTGTATAAAGTCAACCACATAAGAAAGTATACTAAAATCCTAAAACAGAATGTAATAACTTGTCTCTTTGGCATCTCAAAAGGCATCTTAATTGATTGATATATACAAACTTACACATCCCAGGAATTGAAGAGGTTATAAACAAAGGGGAGCAAATATGTAATGGAAATGTAAGAACAATCTTTGAAACATCACAAAAGCAACATTTAGTGAAGCATAAATATATAGGATATATCCACAAGTACAGTCTTATCATTTACATGTTTATGCAGTGTTCATCCTCCATGCCCCGCTTCTGAGTTTATGCGACGATGCAGAGTTCAAACAGCTTACAATCTTGCAGGGACTGTGCTTAGCGGGATGACTGATGTAAACAACGGTACCTTTCCATAAAGACAAATGACACTCTACGTTCTACAATGAAAACTCGAAATGAAGCTTAAAGTTTAAGCCTAAGCAATCTTGATGCCCCCCTTTTACTTCTTCGAGGAACTGATATAACTTCTTCATCATTCACAGATTTCCTCTGTATTGACAGTAGTAGTCTTCTGATCCCACCAGGTTTCCTATTATCCTGCAATTTCAAGCCGTAAATAAAAGTCAGCTTTCTATGAAAACATTGTTGTAATAACTATAGCTCCACAAGTAACATTCACCTGGAAATGGAAAGAAGGATTCCGAATCAACTTGGGTGCGACAGAGAATCCTTCACATACGGGCATGACTAATGTACAAGAGATGCATAAATGTGTTAGATCATAGACCAAAGAAGCATGAAATCAGAATTCAAATTAAAAACAGAAAAGTGTGTTACCAGTGATTTCTTTGGGTGCAATGTCAAGTGGTGACCTTGGACTCGTACCTAGACGAATCTTGTTAAAGATTGTATACATGAAAAGTGGCATTTCTTCGATAGTCTTGAACTCAGGCTCACTAAGAACTCCTTTGATATTGGTTGGCTGATTAGGTTCCCTAAATAAGCACAAGATCTCATCAAGAGTGTACAACCCTAATATGTAGTTTACCCAAACTATTCTGGCAATTTAGAACCCAATGTGTTTGCTCAAAGGAAAATAAATTGAACTGAATTATACTGCTTTGATCTTCGTATTCCTCGGATGGGGAGGGGATGAAGGGCAGGAGGATAGGAAGAAGGTGTAGGGAGGAAAAGGTGGCTTCATAAAACGAAAACATTCCCGCGTTCCACACTTGGGAAACCTATTTTCAACCTCGGCGAATCACATTCACCCCCCACCCCACACCCACCCTCCCTTTACGTATCAAATAGAGGAATATGTGAAAATAAATTTTCATAGAAAATAATTTTCCTCCTAATTCCAACCAAACACTAAAACAAAGAGTAAATGCATGTTTACAATTTTTTCTTACAAAAATCCACATAAAAATGACTTGAAAAAGGGTACCTCAAGTCCGACCTCAATTCTTTACTTGAATCAGCTGTTTAAAAAGCAAAAATAAATCAAATAATTAGTTCCAGCTTCTTCTCATAATCATAATCGGAAAACATTTATAAAAAGACACACACGCGCGCGCACACACAACATACATGGTGTTGAGATATATCGAGTGTAATATCTTGGCAAATCCTTAGTCCATCGTATCTTAGTCAGGGTGAAGTTGTGATTGTACTGATCACATGAATCAAGTTTCTGTTCCAACACCAAGTAATCGATTTTACAATACAGAAAAAATAAAAATGACACTAACATCAGTACTTAAGCATGAAGAAAGTTTAGCCTTCATATTACTAACCTGTTTTAGACAATTAATTCGTCGCTCAGTTTCATTAGCGCGGTCACTCTTTTGAATGCAGCCATCAAGACTAGCAGAAACACTTCCAAGGTGATCAACAACTGTAACAACTGCTCTACATAAGTATTCTTTTGTATTCTCCAAAACTCTGCATTAACCAAAAGCTTAGCATAATTATATACAACCTCCTTAACTTTCTGCAAATGAGTTAGAAAAACTACGACTCACATCGCCTTATCCTCGGAATTCTTATAAGATTTCTCACAATAATCAGCAGCAGTATGGATCTGAGCCCTCAACTCCTTTAACTCCTACACAGTTTTGTTGAATTAGACAGATAATTAACCAAACATAATCAACAATAATATACATGACAATATAATAAGCTCTCAAAATTCTGAAAACTGTCTGAAGATAAGGCCTAGAACACCTGAGAAATATAATAATATATGCAGCGCTAAGGGCTATCTGTAAGATGGAACATTAAAAACAGTAAACATTAACTAAACATAAATAACACCGATCGAAAGCATACCTTAAGAGACTTGAGGAATCGAAGAGAGTCATCAGAAACAGCTCCACGATTGCCATTTGCATGAATGCCAAACTCCAACATTATTACTCAATCTCTCTTTCACTCTTAGTTTTCAAGAGAAGATGAAAGAATATATTATGAAGAAACATAAAACTGTAGAATGAAGTATTAAACTGTTATATGATTCCTTTAATATTTTCTCATCCTTCAAAAATGATTGACGTGTGTTTTCTGGTGATAGGAAGAAAGTTAAACAGGGAACTATAGGCTCGTGATTAATCTGGCAGTTTGTGACAACAATACAACAAATGCATGGAAGTAAACAAAAAAACACATGGCCCCAAAAATCCACTTCTTTAACCATTAATGCTAAATAATTCTAAATAATATGAAGAACCCGTGAACTTATGTTTTTTCACCTTGTCTTTGTCATGATAACTTGAAAAGTAGGTAAATTAATCATTAATCATTACTCATTTAGCATTTATATATTCCTTAAAAAATCGAAATTGAAAAAAATATTCACTAACAACATTCTATGAAATACTGTAAAATGCTCTACTAATCTTACAATTCTATGGGTTACACTGCACATATGTATGTTCAAGTAGAGGAAGTAACAAACCAGTCCGAGTGTCGAGTGGGATGCAGACTAGACTAGACTAGATCAGACTAGGCGAGGATGGGCTAGGATAATAAAACATAGGCAAGAAATAGATAAGGTTTTGGATGGACTGGTCCATTTCAGGCTCGTTGTTTTGAAGTATTTTCAATGGTTTGAATTTTTTTACTAAAAGAAAAGCTTACTCAGCTGAGTCCAGGCCGGAAGTGGGCTTAGTCTAGGTTGTTATATTAAATAAGCTTGAGCCCATGGACCGCACTGCATGGTAACCAACGCATACCGATTTAAATCTGGACTGAGCTTTAGCCGGACTGAGGCCAGGTGTGTCGGTCCTTCACCAACCCCAATGGTGTGGACGTGTGGTGACCTCAATGTACAAGAGTTGTGAAGATGCAATGTAAAAATTCTTTGTAGTATAAACTTTGGAGAGAAATCCAATAAGATTCTCCAGTATATATTGATAGAAAAAGAAGAGCAGCTGCTGAAATTTACAGTTCCTTGAGCTAACTCATGTAATGACACTAAGATGCTATTTCCACAATCCCAAAACATGTGTTCGCCAGTAACCTAGAATGTAAGAGGCTTCAATCTGGCACAGCATCAGGAATTGGTGGTTGCCAGACCAGAGAGCAAGGACAAGTAATATTTCTCCATACCCAGATACATCAGCAAAACTTTTAGCTTCACAAGACATTAGATTGCTGACTTTAAGTAAGCAGTCTTCCAAAATGTGAAGAGTAATCATGTTAGGTTATATCACGTCATATCTGAAAATCTATCACACACCCAGCATGATTCTCAGCAGCCTTTATAGCATTCAAGAACAGGAGATGGTCTAATTTTGATGATGTAGATTCTGATAGCGTATTTCTGAGATCTCTGTGACTTACGAGAACTACTATGTCAGTTTCCTGCTTACTACAAGCTGCTGATAGAGCTTTAACCTGTTGAGAAGAGTAAGAATTTGAGCTACTATACCTTCGGTCTTAAAGGATAAGCAATAACAGCAGTCGTGTCAAAGTAAGTTCCAGGATTACCTTTGGTTGAATTTGCTCCTATGGTGAGACTCTGGCTTTCGATATGAGAATTTGGGCGTGTGACACACAACCATGTTCTCTCCTCTTCATATTGGTGCTCTGAAGCTATGGGAATATGCCAATGGCCGCTCTCTGATTCCTGTTCAGAGCCCAGAATTCAAAACAATAAATTATTTCTAAACGTTTTATTATCCTGCAGCAAAGAAAGATTCTGAGAAGTTTCTCTAACCTGGATAACAACAGAACATGGTGGTGGCATGTGAAAAACAGGGCCAATTTCTGTGAAGCTAAACCGAACCTTCAAACAGAAATACAGAGCCAATAATAAGCAATGATGCTATCAGGAAAGTAAGAAACCATTTGAAAGGCTACAATTCGAAAGTATATATTCTTCAATCCTGGAGGATGAATTTGAAAGTTTCTAAGGGTTGGTATTGGTTTAATGAGGTGGATATTCTTTTTGCTGAAAAAAAAAAATAGTACTAGCATTTAAACTTTAATTTGAGGAATTTTTGTTTCCAACAACTATTTTTGTTAATTGCAGGCTTGCAGCACATATTTCAAAGGACATAACAATATAATTTCTAACAGAGGGAAGGTGAACATGAATTGGGTCAAGTAGAGTTAAGGTAAAAATACCTTTTTCTTAAAGAGAGAGAAAACCAATAAACCTCTACTAAAAGATATGTACTTTTCCTTCTTGAGAGAAAATGGGATAAAAATTTTCCTTCACAAATTGGAGCGAGGTGTAATAAAACAGTAGTTAATCAAATAGGTATCCTCAGGTCTCATAACAAAATGATTTCACTCGTGATTAAAAAAAGGTTCATTTGAGTTTGCAAAACTTTGCTCACCTGGTGCCTTTCTTTCCATTTAGGAAAGAAATCATTTCCTAGGAGCTGGAATGTATGGTCTCTCATCTCGTCATTAGTCACAAGTAGACACTTATACTTTATAGCTGCATACAACCAGTACCTGTAAAACCAGTTATTAATAACACCAATCTAGAGCATGTAAAAATGTGGAACATCAATTGCCCAAAATAGAATTTCTAGAGGACATAGACACAAACTATCCTAATGAGAAACAACTAACTCACCAATCATCATTTGATCCAGTTGGTGTCGCATAAAGTGCATCAGCATTTCTCCATTTTTCAACATATTCCTTATTCATAGGTTTATCTAGCTTGCTTCCAGTAACTCGCCTATTGTGCAGAATGATAAGTGGCCACTTTCTAGAAGGAAGCATTTGGCGCAACCCATTCACAATAGCATTTACCTGCAAGCATCATAACCTAGGTAAGAGCAAATAATCTTTTATGACGGAGGAAGATAGAATTTCAATCAAACAGGGGAAAAGTTGGTATAATACATGCCTTCCCAGGTTGGAAGTTTCTCTGACTGAAGAGACCGACATTAGCTGCATCCACTACAGCCTCAAATGGACCATAGTAGTCTAGCCACCTCTGCCAGGAACATTCCCAATCAAAAATCTGTGTAATAAACCGTTACATAATGAAAAATATAGAATTGCTATGAGTCCCATACTTGAAACTTTTGGAAGCTTGAATGCTTCTCTCTCTTTGCTGCTATAGCTGCAACTGATTCAGCAAATCTCTCTGTTTCATCAGGATCAAGGTCAATCAAGGCCAACTTCTCCCCACAACATCTACATGAACCATCAACTCCGATGGAAGTTCGTGAGACGCTCCATTTTCCTCTGCCTAACCATCCTTTTCCATGCCACCCACCACCAACATTTTCCATTGTTTGAGCAATCATCTCATGATCCCACTTTCTTTTCCCAATTCTCGATGCTTGTTTGCTATTAAACCATTTTTCAATCAAATCTGCGGTAGAAGGTGAGACAAACCTCACCACTGTTCTAAGCTTATGCAAAACATAATACACTCGGTCAGCTTTACCAGCTTCAACACTTACTCTAAGAAGTGCCTCCAGTTCAGGCTCTTCAGGATAAACACCATTCTCCAACATGTGTTTTTCGACCGCAAAGGCTTTCTCAATATCTCCATCGCTGGTGAAAACAGATAAAGCAGGACCATAAGACCTCAATTTTGGGGTTATCCCAATTGAAATCATCTCCTTTACCATATCAAAAGCCTTGTCTCCGTCACCCACGCCCATTGCCATTCTAGCAACTGAAGTCAAAGCAGCCTCATTCATCTGCACCTTATCCAAGCACATTCTCTCATAAATTTCAAACCCTTTTTTACGGGCATACTTCCTTACATCATCGCTTACCCTAATCTCATTTACTTCTAACTTTTGAGTTTGATCTTTTCTATCTCGAGCTTCATCATCTATATCACCATTTTCCTCCTCACCAGAATCATTTGTCCCATCTAACTTCTGAGGGGGAACTGTATCTAAACTCCTACTGCCACTACCACTTTTAGCCGGTCGAACAACCCCCATTGCAGCACTAGAACACAGATACAAGAGCACAGTATAATGGTACTGCCCCATCTTTACCCCTTGCTTAACCGCTGAATCATACAGCGAAATTGCACCCAATACATCACCCCTTTTGGAGCACATGTCCAAGCTATTCCTCATATGAAACTCTGGTGAATTAACCGTACACTTCTTAGACAATTTCTCCTTCTTCTTTACCTTAGAAGCATCACCACCATCTCTAACGGCACCTCTATCTACAGTTCGATTAACGACATTCGACATCGAATTAGCATCTCTAACACTTCTAGAAGAACCCCCAGAACCCTTTTGACCTCTTTTTTCAAGACCACTATAATCTCCCCTAACATCCTCCACATTACTATTTATAGCAACTTTTCCCACAATCTCCTCCATTTTTCTCTCCCACTTTCTACTTCCCCTCTTAGCCGAAGAACTTTCAGACCCATTTTCACTTCTTTTCCTAAAATTCAATTTTCCACCAGATTTTCTATTATTTTTACCATAATCTACAAACCCTCCCCCATTTTTTTCACCCTTTTGGCCAGAAGATGAATACCCAGAACCCAAATTATCACTAAAATCTCTAAAATCTACAGTTTCAGTTGAAGAATTACGATTTAAGCTAGAACTAACAGGGCAAATGAGAGTTACAGGAGCATTAACCAAAAAGAAAGGAGATAACTTGAATGGAGGAAGGGAGTGTTTGGGAGATGAAAATGCAAAAGAATGGTGGAATTGGGGAATTGAGGATGTAGAGAAACACTTACAGAGAGTATGAGAGAGAAGTTCCCGCGGTTGTAATGTGTTGAAGGAAGAAGCCATTTGTGGCCGTTAACTCATCTTGCTGCTTGGGATGACATTCGTATTCTATAGAGTATTCTATCATATACTTGCACTATTTTGACCTTTACTTTTTAGTTTTTACGATCATTAACTTTAAACTTCAATATTTATATTTTCGTAGTAATAAAATTAGGAAAAATTGAACAAGTTAAAAAATTAAAAAAAATATATATATAATAATTGTACCAGCATTTGTATGTTGAGTTTGTAGGGCAATTTTCCAAGCATTAGGCTTTGTTTTCTCAGTCTATTTCGGTATTTTCACTATAAACTTGTGCATATAGTTCACTTTAAAAAAAAATTCTCTCTCTGTTTCATATAGTTCTTCAAACTTTGATCAATTTTTTCTCAAGAAAAGATTTAAATGAAAAGAACAATATGAAATAAAGAGAGTATTTTTTATTCTTTTGCATTCTTTATCTTCTTAATCGTAATCCGATTATGTTATCATATAAAAGTTATAATCAAAGGTTTATTTGTTTTAGTTTGATCATGTTATCCAAGCCCAACTAAGGGTCTAAGGCCATATGCAAGCTGGACGACTACATACACAGCCCAAAAGTTGAGTAAAAAAATTATAAGGTTTATTAATTTACTTGTAGGAAAACAAACATGGAAATATGTAGAAAAGAATTAAAAATCATAAGGTTTAATTATTCAAAACCAAAAAATTATGGATTGCAAATACAAGAGGGATAAAAGATATATTGATATATATATGTATACTCAGAATCAATTTCAACCCAAATCAATTGATTGAATATTGATTTCGTTTTTCTACTAATTTTTTGCATATATAGTACACATAGGTTGAAAAACTCATGCACATCTTACTTCCTCAAATTAACTTACCTATGTGGCTATTACACTCAAGTATGTTCATATAGCAAAAATTGAGTGAATAAAATGCACCATCCATCACTATAAACAAGAAGATTTTTAAAGAAAATACAATTGTTGTTGTTTTAGGAATTACCACCTACAATTTTTTTTATTGAAATTTACCGCCTACATTTTATGAAAATAATATAACTTTCCACCATTTTGAAAGATGACATCATGGTGGAGCCTACAAACGGTCTTCCCCTCAGTTTCCCTCCTTTTCCTTCCTTCCTCTTTCGATACTTAGTCTTTCTTCTTCATCTCCTTTTTAATTTTGCACAAATACTGAAATCAAATTGCTAAATTAAAAAATTAGGGTTTCAAAATTCATTGTTCTTGCTTCGAATCTTCAAAAATTAGGGTTTCTAGCAATTTGATTTCAAGCTATGCCTCAATTTAGATGGAAGTGGAATAAAAGGAAAGTGAGAATCGAGTGAAGAAGAAAGAAAACGGAGGGAAATAGCAAGGATGACGTCATCTTTGAGAGCAGTGGCGGAGCCACATTAGAACAAGGGGGGACAGTTGTCCCCCCATTTTCGGAAAAATTTTTTTTTTAAAAAAAAAAAAAATCAAGAAAATACAGTAAAAGGCTATAAATAACATATACTTACAGTAGATATCACAATATTGAATATGGTTTGGTGGTTGAGTCCTTAGTAAGGCTGTGTTTTGGTCCTAGGTTCGATTCCCTACTCTATTGTTTTTCAGCTTTTTTGTTTTTATTTTCCCCTACTTCTTGTTTTTTTTATTACATACTCTAATTTTCAACAACCTTTTTAATTTGATTTTTTATTTCCTATTTCTTGTTTTAGGATTTTTAATGTTATTTCTTATTTCCTACTTCTTGTTTTTAATTATCGCTTTAACTAAGTGTGCTTAAACTCAATTTTTTTTTACATTTCTAATAAATAGATTACTATTAATTAATTGTTTGTAACTGTGTTTTAACGAAATACATATTAATAATATGATTGATTTGAAAAAGTTGAGTTTATTTTTTCGAATGTAACTCAAACCCTGGCCCTTCATATCTACCATCAATTTGTTTTAACGATAATTATTTGACTTTTTATTTATCAATTATGTGATTACATAACAGGATTTACAAATATAAATTTATTCATTTTTGTTGGATAATTTTCTTAATATACAATAAAACTTTTTTACCCCTCTTTTTCCATATAGAAATAATTGGCATATGTGATTTCAAATAAATATTAAACAATTTAGGATATCAATTTTTTTCTTGAGATTTTTGCCGAAACTTTAACCTCCAAAATTTGTCCCCCCGAATTATAAATCCTGGCTCCGCCACTGTTTGAGAGGTTGGTCAAAGTGGTGGGAAATTTTAGTGTTTTCATAAAATGTAGGTGGTAAAATTAAAAAAAAAAAAAAAAAACAAAAGGTGGTAATTCCTAAAACAGCAACAATTGTAGGTGGTAATTGTCAAAAAAACCAAAAAAATATAAATAAAAGTATGAAAAAATACAAAGTAGATTGTGGTTTGATCTAACGAAATGTTAGGCGTGTTTTATCCCTAAGCTCCATTTCATAACTTTCATATGGAATTTGATACCATTCTAGAAAAGTTGCAAAGTATTTCTTTATACTAATCAAGTAATTAGGCCCAATTATAGGTCATTATAATCGTGACCATATTGGACCTTATTTATAAAATTTTATTTCTTTCATACTTCGTATTAATGATTTAATCATACAAACTTCATGAAATTATTCTTATATTTTACACAGGGATGATATGAGTACATAATTGCAAATTTTGAACCGTATTTGCCCCAGTTGAAGCTAGTATTATTATAATATTTGATGGGTAGTAAATGTTTCGGTGGATATATATATACCAAAAGTCAATTTGAAATGAATAGCGGATTGATGGTGGATTTGAAAACAAACCCCCCCTAGTTATTACCTATGTAATATCCATCGTTTCATCCAATCCACATCATAATAACATCTATTTTTTACAATTTTTTCTAAGACAATATTCCTTCGGAATAAAAATAGGTGGGGTAATAAACTGTTATAAGTGGATACTCATAGTGGATATCCACTTACATAGTAAATGATATTGCGAGTGCAAATTTAAATTTATAATTACACGAGAAAGTATAATGTTTGATATAATGATATGTATCCGTCATAAGTGGCGGGTACTAAAATTGTAGACGGGTTCGGATATGTTGTATTGTTGTAGGATATATCCGCACCCGCTCAACCCGTTTGCCAATAACCTTATTTATATACAAGTATCTATCATAAATAAGCACCACATAAGTCCCGCCACTTGTAAAGCACTAGATCCATAAAGCTGGAAGTTGGTAAGTAAGGCAACTGTTTTCTCTACTTTTATTGGTTTTTTCATAAAAAAGCAACAAGGAAGTTAATGCATCAAAGCAAAGTGTACACAAAATAAGAGAAATTAAATCAATAATCACCCAATACAATTCAAAAATAAATTAATACCAAAACTGACAAACTAACTAGTGAGGTGTTATATGTATGAGCAATTAGGAAAAAGAGCTTAATCCCATATTCTTTGCTTAATTGTCTCATTTTTAGTTAGCCCCTCTTCTTTCCATGTCCCACCTTTTTTTTCTCCCCCCAAAACCATATTTTATACAATTATATTTATTTATAACCTATGCTTTTCATTCACCTTATTTCTCTTTGCTTCTTCGTTCTCCTTTTGAACAACAACAACAACAACAAAATTTAGTAGAGGAGAAAAGAGCTAAAGAGTTTGATGATGATAGCTTCATTAATGACAACAAAAACTCTCCTTCTACTCCTTAATTGTCTTGTAATCATAGAATTAATCAGTCATCTTATGTTGATTGAAGTTTACGGGGCTAATAATAATAATCTTCGTAACGATGATCATCATGATTTTATTAGAAGAAAAATGCAGGCTATTAAGGATTCTATTTCTTCACCACCTTCCTCATTAATCTCTCCTTCTCCTACTCTCGCTCCCTCCTCCTCGGTAAGTTTTACTTAGTATGTAATAATAATTGGTTGCGCTACATAAAATATACAACAGTTGCACTGAATGGGGTACGATGATAATGATGATGCAGGGTACGGTAGGGAGCACCCTTGTTTATCACGTGTCGACGTATGGGGCGGATCCAACGGGGAAGAGTGATAGTACGGAAGCATTAATGAAGGTGCTTTCGGATGCTAGTAAGAGTATAAGCAATGGTGTGTTAATAGATGGGATTAGTAATCTTGGTGGTGTACAAATTAATCTTGATGGTGGGATTTACTTAATTAGTCGTCCTCTCCAATTTCCTACTACCAACATTGGTAATATTGTGGTACGTTCATTTTTTTACTTCATTATTTATTACTCCGTATTATCATTATTGTTAAATTTATTACTATAATGTCTTATGCTAATTTTAATTTGGATTTGATTATATGTCAAATCAAGGAGCGTATATAGTACGTGGTACGACTAATTTGTTTTTTTACTTTTGTTGTAGTGAGGAGTGGTACAGATTTATTAGGGAAGGTTTTAGATATTTTGGTGAGTGAAAGGTCTTTTTTAAGGTAAAAAAGTAGTGTGTAATGACGATGGATAGATTCTTGAATTTACTCTCGAAAAATTAGATTATATGTTCTCTTTGTTATAGAGAATATGTACGAGTTGAAGTTAAGATTCTTTTAGTTCAAGTGTGTTAATAGAAAGCAAATTGTGTATTGAGTTAATTTCATAAACTAATGGAGTTCAATGATGAATCGGATACGAGCCAAGGGAGAAAATTTTTGGTAAAGATTTTGAACTACTAAGCTTTGATGAATATATACACAAAGATAATGTATCTATGCTACAATTACTAAGTAGTGATCAAATCTAATTCGACTTAATTTTGGATAAAGGGCCGGGGTTTCTATATGAAGTAGTTAACGTATCTATGTTTATGAGATGTAATAGTTTTTGTTTTGATTGTATGATTTTTTTCAAGAAATTCTAACATTTTGGAGATATTAGTGATAAAAATGACTCATAAGCTTTTGGTATTATCATCGCAATTATGATAGTTTGATAGAGTAATATAAACACACAAATTAAAACAAACTTCAGTTTGACGGCAATAATCTAGCCATCAATCTATGATGTATTGTTTGACGACAACTATTTGGGTTAGTTGAATTTTGTTATTATTACTGACTTTGCAAGATGGAGTAATTGTTAGACTTTAATGAGCTCTTTACTTATTCATGTTTTTGGTCTGACGCAATTTATTCATGCTTTCATTTATTCTACTTCACCTGCCTCAGTCAAATGTGAATAAATTAAACAGCTCATTTGGGAAAATTAGTTAATTTTATTGATCTCCTTTGCAATGATCCTTACATCATATAATGTGGTTTGGAGAACATGTACAATTTGATTATGTGGTGTTTCAAGACAAGAAAACGATAAATTGTTACTCTGTATAAGAATCTAATAAGTCTTATTTCTTTTTATTTGTCTCATTTGCTCAAGAAACTCTCATGTTTTTAGTCCAATAAAGTAGGCAAACGGATGAGTAAATTTTTTTGTTGGATCTCACAAATCACAATAATACTCTCTTAACTTGTTGTGGTAATTGTACATGGAGTAATCAAGAAGTAAAGCATCTTGCTCATAATTTTAGCATCACGGGGGAAGCAAGAAAATATGTCAAAATTTTGGAAAGGACAATGATTTATTTTGTTGTATTTTTTTATTTTTTATATATGCATAAAAAGTATTCCTTTGCGTCCTTTTCACATATAAAAAAAAAAAAAAAAAAGGCTTTAACCTAAGGTCTAGATGAAATATGAAAAGACTAATTCACCCTTAGCTAATTTGATTAGAAAAAACAAAATAAACTGATGACTTTATTTTAGCTCTTAGATTTTTTTTTTTTTTTTTTTTTTTTTTTTTTTTTTTTTTTGGCTAGAAACTTAGTAAAGAGATTAATCAAAGGATCTTTTATAATATTGAAAACATTTTTCAAGAAAAGTTGGAGTAAGTGTATTTCTAAAAAACCATGCTTGGAAATAGGAGTTGTTAGATTCTTTAGTCGATGGGTCTTGTATTGAACGGCGGCTGGACTAAAAAATATTAGGGGTATCCATTATTCGGATAAAAACCAAAATCCTATTCAATTCACATCGAATTATTAATTCGGATTGGATCCAAATAATTCGGATCGGATCGGATTGTTTGGATCCAAAAAACCGAATTAATCGAAATATGAAATCATACTTTTACAAATAATGATTGTTAATATTAATCATGTAAAATTATGTTGATAATTATATTAATATAAATTATGTAAAACTATGTTTTCAATACTTGTATGAATCCTATACAACTATGGTTTCAAAGCTAAAATTTTTATAGTTGCATTTTTATTTTTATAATTACTTTAGGCCCTAAAAATTTGCAATATATTTTAATTCGGATTTTCGGATCGGATCTAAATAACCGAATTTTATTTCGGATTAGATTGATGAGAAATTCGGATTGGATTGGATTTGAAAATTAAAAACCGAATTTTATTTCAGATCGAATTGAATTTGGCCAAAATCTAAACCGAAAGCGAAATAGACATTCCTAAAAAAAATACGAAGTACCAAAGTCTAGAAGTTGTAGTTGAACTATAAGTGCACTTTTCTCCATAATTGAAGTTTCTTCTAGTGACCTTGTCTTCTTCCACCTTATGTTTCAAAGGGTAACATCAAATTATTTAGATTAGATGCTCAAATAATAGAATTTAGGAGACCCGATAACTGTTACATCAACAAAAATGTTAGGTGTATGTGTTATTTTTCGACTGAATTTAGCTGAATATAGCTTATTAAATCTGATTGGACTTGATTAACCTAAATTTATCTTATTAACACCTAGTTAAACCTTTAAAGTGAAGTGAACACACAAGTTTATTACTATTCGTTCTTTTATCTTGAATTATATGTCTTATTGTCCCAATTTCATTCGTGCATTAGGGATTTGATAACATCTTGCAATAATAATAAGATAATGATCCATATACAACCCTTAGGATTGTGTATAAATGGTAAATACATTTCCTAATATGACATTTAATAATGCAAAATAGGATCGTGTGTTGATTAGTGTTATTGATATATGATTATGCTTCAAAAATTAAAGCTCTCAAATATTAGTAAACCATTATTACATTAGAAAAAGCATTTTTTATTATTTTTTTTTTAATAATTTTTATTTGACATGAATTATTATACGGAGTATATGAGTATAACAATAGATCTCAGACAGATGAAGTATATATATATATATATATATATATATATATATATATATATATATTTTGAAAGAACAGATGAAGTATATATTAAAAGAATACTTCTCAAATAACTAGATATAAAGAGGAAAAGTAAATACAAATAAATATATGGAGTATCAACTTGGTTCACACATGTAATGTTGAATTTGTCATAAAAGTAAATTCCTTTTTCTAAAGTAAGCAATTCATTTCTCGAGCAGAGTATATCTGTTGAACAACTATATTGAACAATCTTTCAATAGTTAGCGTAATTCAAACTTGTTATTAATTGGCACAAATTTCACCTAATTATTACCAAAGCTTATGAGTAGTTTGTAACGCATGCATTCAAAGTTTTTTTATTTTATACATGATCGTATGCATTGATATTTGAAAGTAATTATAAGTGTTCATTGCATTGAAACATGTAGTAAAAAAAGCTTCGTTGTAAGCAGATTAGATTTCTTTTAATCTTGCTTAATTGCTAAAATATAGATCATCGATTTCATGATCTTGGCATTTGAGATCTAATTTCCTTGTCTAGATTAAGGAGCTTTATTTGATGATTCATTTGAACGAACTATACTATAGTTTATTATCGCCTTAAGGGTTGTAAGAAGATTTCTTCTGTTAAATTTTGGGTTAAATATTATATACTCCATAATTCGTATCACTCCAAGTTTAGAGCAACAATTCGATTCATTTTCAATTAGGATTTGCTCTAGCCTCTTTAGAGGTTATAAATTCCTTTGTCGCCCTTGTGATCGCCTTAAGGGTTACAAGAAGATTTCTTTAGTTAAATTTTGAATTCGACATTTTATATTCCGTATCATTCCAAGATTAGAGTTACTAAAATGCTTGATCCCTGTGAATGACTTATCATTGCTTATCAAATGACAAATGTACTATATTACTATAAATTACGGAGTACTTTGTATGTAATTTTTTCACCCAACATGACACTCAAATTTTATGGATTCGCGCCTCATGTGTATAATCCGCTTGGTTTTCTTTTCACATTGGGGCAAAAAACATTGAATCTTCAATTACATATCTACCTGAATTTGGCTATTATTGACCAACTTCATATGATTTTCTTCAACAGATGCATGGAGGAACTCTATTAGCATCAGACAATTTTGCAACGGATCGATATCTTATTGAACTTTCAGCATCACCCCCTTCTCAAATCAGCAAAGAAAACACAACTTCTTCAACAGATCAAAACCTTAGCAGCTCATCCTACAACTTTGAGTACATAACATTCAGAGACCTTATGTTAGATTGCAACTATAAAGGCGGTGGCATTGCTGTTATAAATACTCTTAGAGTTAGCATAGATAATTGTTACATTGTTCATTTTATGTCCGAGGGCATTCGAGTTGAGAGTGGACACGAAACTCTGATCCGAAGTTCCTACTTGGGACAACACATTACAGCCGGGAATGATCCGGGTGAAAGAAACTTCACAGGCACAGCAATAACCCTTATGGGAAACGACAACGTTGTGAATGATGTCGTAATATTTTCAGCTAATACAGGGATTATAGTATCAGGGCAAGCTAACCTTCTGTCCGGGGTGCATTGCTATAACAAAGCAACAGGGTTTGGAGGAACCGGAATCTATCTGAAGTTGGCTGGTCTAACCCAAACAAGGATCGTAAATTCTTACTTGGATTATACCGGCATTGTAGCAGAAGATCCGGTACAACTTATTATTTCTAACAACTTCTTCCTAGGAGATGCATACATTAAGTTTAAGTCTGTCAAGGGTGTTGCAAATGGTGTCAATATCGTCGACAACATCTTTGCAGGGTCCGGAAATGGAATTGACATTGTACAATTAGATGGTCCCTTTGGAGATGTTGATCAAATTCTAATTGATCGGAATAGTGTCAAAGGGATGAATGCTAAGGCTACCATAGCAAAGTCAGCAGTTCAAGGGAATGGAAGCACCTACACTGCAGATTTTAATGGGATTCTTTTGTTTCCAAATCTCATAAAACATGTGCAATACACGTTAAGTACAAGTGGGAATGCCTTCCCTAATTACGCTTTGCGTAATGTGTCGCAGAATCGGGTGGTTATCGAGTCGAGTGTGGCTGCTCCTACAAGTGTTTATGTCATGGTTGATCAAGGATTTGGAGGTTGATTGTAGTACCTAATTGTTATCTTTGGTACCGGAAAAGCCATCAATTTTGTTGGCTGAGTATCAATTAGGCTCCCATAGTCTAGTTCAAAACAAAAAGTATCATTAGATGTGGTCACTACATCACGAGTCATCGTTATGCGCGATCAAGAGTATAAAACTGTATTTTCTGAGCTCTTTACAAAAAATTGTACTTAAAGAGATGCACATAAATGGAAGAACTATGGGAAGAAGCCAAGGCATGGAGGATTTTGTCACTAGTGGATTTTAAGTGAGGATTAAGGCAACCTTACTTCTTGTTTAGTTACTTCTATATAACATTTAATCACATTCGAAACGCCTTTATCATGTAGAAAACACAAGAAAAATTGTAATGAAATGAAAGCATTAATTTTCTGAGAAGTATAGGCAATTCAACATAGTGAAAACATTTTTCAACCATCTCAAAAAAAATCATTCCATCCTATATTATATCCTAGGAGTTCCACTATTATTTATGTTACTAGATCTAAATTTTGATCAAGAATGATTTTAACAAAAATTAGATTACTAAATAATACTATCATAAAACAATTATCAGGTAGAAACAAGTCAAACAACGGCTCCCTCCATTTTAAAATCATAGGTCACATTTCAATTTCACACCGTCGAAAAATAATCGATCAATTTCTAGATTTCGTAAGTTAAACTTTGTTCACTTACCACTTTACCAGTGCAAAAAAATTAGAATCCAGTGAGCTCCGACTCTTTGTGAGTCTCAATAGTGACATCACTAATAGGATAAGCAACACAAGTGAGAACCCACCCTTCAGCCATCTGGTCATCATCCAAGAAGCTTTGATCTGATTGGTCTACACTACCAGAAGTCACCTTCCCGACACATGAGGAGCACGCGCCTGCCCGGCATGAGTAAGGCAAGTCCACCCCATTCCCTCCTGCAGCATCCAAGATGTACTCATCATCGTCGCACTGAAATTCCTGGGTGCCCGAAGGTGTAATCAAGGTAACGTTGTGGGCAGCCATCGCGGTCATTCTCCCCCCACGAGCACTGGCCTTGAGCCCAAACACGGCCTGGCCAATGTTGGTAGGAAGTGTTGCCGTCATTGGCGGATTTTGCTGTTTTCGTACCAGCGTAGCTGCTACCATTGCTGCTGCTGCTGCCATTGCTACTATTGTTGGCAAGGATTAGTGGAAAGGTTGGTTTGTGCTAAAGGATGAAGTAGTAGAAGGGTGAGATCATTGAGACTTGATAAGAAAGAGTTTGGATGGGTGCTAACCGATTCGCCACATGGCGGGTTGACATGGAAGCTGACTCACTTATCAATTGGTGTGTGGTTGGTTAAGGTTTCAAGTTGGAGTGTGCCTACCATACTTTCATTATTGGTAATTTGGCATCATGCAGAGAAGCACCCCACTCTTGCGCGTTTATCTAATACAATACACACCATCACTTAGGTGTGCCAATGATAATTGGTGCTCCACAAGTGTTTTTTTAAGTAGATTTCCTAATCATTAAAAAAATAAAAAAAATAAAAAAAGAAAAAAAGAAAAAAAAGAAGAAAATGATTTTACCCATCCCGATACCCTATGTTTACTCAAACTCGGGTACCCATGTCCAACACGAGTACGTGTCCAAGTATCCAACCCGACTATTCAGTGAAAAATTTCAATAGTTTAAACTAAAATGAAGTGTCCAAGTGTCCTACTCATGTGACTCATATCCAAATGTCGAGAGTACGACATGGTAATTAAGGTGAACTGAAAAGTTTGAGTAACAAGTATTATACCCATAAATGATAAATTTATAAAATGCTAGACCAACAAGTAAAACTACATTTTTTTTTTTTTTTTTTTTGTTTTTCCACTTCTATATGGCATACTTTACTTGTTATTATAACAAGAGAGTCCATGTGATGTAGTACAGAGAGAAACTAAATTAAATTGGAATAATTTGGGATTTAAAGGGCCAAAAGTTACCATCTAAAAGGAAATGAAACAATAATTTTTAAGCATCATAAGGATGTGGAAAACTAATTAAGGAATTAGCATGAAGCATTGATAATTATATCACAATAGGCTGACTTAAAGACCAGAGCCGTAATAAACTCATTGCCAAATTGAAAGACTCATCACTCCGAACCAAACTCAATTCAAATGGCGTGCTTGTCACCTCTAAGGTCCATGAAGTTAAGGGGACATGATAGTGTCCATAAAACAATAGAAGAAGAGCACTATGACCCAAATTACAAATTTTTAAAAGTCATGCTACCCTAAGCTTACAAATCAGTGAAATTACAATTATTAAGCATTCATCAAACAACTTCTAATCTCAACAAAACAAGGATCCAATAGTTTGCAGCATAGTTAACCTAAGCCTCAGTTGCAGCAAACAAGCTTTTCACTTTAAAACAATGATCCAGATCTTTGCAACAAAACTTGTTTTCCTCAGGAATCAGGATGCAACAAACATGTTACCTAAGAACCTTCATCCCTTGGATCCATGTATAGATCTCCCAACAATAATTATGGGTATACTGCAAATTTACTGATTCATTCAATCTCTCTTGTAAATGGCAATGACGCTCTCAAGGTGAATTCATAGTTCTTCCACAAATCACATCCACTAAGTGTTGAACTTGAACCACAAATCTGGCCATGTATCAGTCATGACAAACTTAAACTTCACATGTATGATAAATATAGTAATAGACCTAAAGTAAGGTATAAGCCAATTTACCTCAGGTCTTGAACCATAAATCTATAGCACAATCCTTTGAAGTGTGTTCACATATGTGTAACTTGAAAAACATACAAATAGTTTCCTAAACCTGCACATTTTTGAAGAACAATCAAGGAAAAAAAAAAAAAACAACCCCATGATCACTAAAGCCCTTGACAAAGTGTTAGAATCCACCTCTCCGTGACACTAAGGCAGGGTAGATTAAGCAATGCAAAGTAGAAGCAGCCTTGACCAGAATAGTTGGAAGAAAGAGGGGAGGGGTGTGAATGCACAAAGTCATGGCTTTTGAGTTGTTAATGGGAGAAATGGCTTTTGAGTTGTTAATGGGAGAAATGGCTTTTGAGTTGTTAATGGGAGAAAAATGTCAATGGGAAAACAATATTCAATCATACGGAAGGAACGTTTCTTGGATACTCTGAATCTGAACAGAAGAAGAAAAGAAGTTAGAACACCTACCAAACCCACTGGCTTGCGTGTTGTGCCATTGCTTGAAAACTCATAAAAGGATGCTCATTCAGTAGACAAAAAGATTTCCTACGAGGGAGACACCAGGCCATAAAGATGGATAACCAGATATCTACTGATCCACTATACTTCCGCAATACACTGCTACTACCCTGGGAACAGCAATGAGGGGGAAAAAAATTACAAAATTTAACAAGATACATTGTCTATAATTAGCAGGGGAAAAAAATTACCAGTTCCCATGCTTCAAAACTATTTTGTTGAGAATCAAGTAAAACCTTTCTGTTACAATATAAAGAAACCTTTAAATTAAACTTTGACCAATCATTCATCCACTAATCTAAAACAACTATGTGTAAAATTTTTGGACTTAGGATTTGGGAAGAAGACGATAAGCTAAGCCAACCATCAAGTGAGCACATGATGCAACTACACTTAATGAAATAAGTTGTTGGATCAAGCAAATAGACAAAAGAAACACATAAATCGATCCATGTATCAAGATAAACGTTGACAGCTAAGAAACAAAACATGAACAAATGTGCAGCTTATTGCTCAGATGTAGAATAGAAAAGTATACGACAAGAAATCAATGAATGCAAAAGATATAGGTGCTGCACATAATAAAGATGGAGAATAAACCAAAATGACCATCAGAATCAAGATTTAAAGGTGGTTGCTAGAAGTCACCTTATTCCGAAATGTACATCTCGGTGATTACAATGACCAGAAACTCCATAACTATCAAATGTAATTACCTGCAAATTTCAACAAGAGATGAATTGAAAATAACAACACTGAATATGCAGTACAGCCATTTCCTTAAAAAAACGCCTGACAACAGAAATGTGAACAGAAAGATTCAGAATTTCATTTGAATGATATTAGAAAATATACGCTCCAAAAATCAAGTTCTAAAAACATGGAAAGCCACAAAAGATAGAAAGATGAATCTCACTGTATCAATGCCATGAGATCTGATGTTATCTTCAACAATTTTTGCAATTAAGGTGTGATTCCACACTTTGCCAAACCCATCCTAGTCACAGCGAGAAGATGCTATAACATTTGAAAGTATCATTTAGCTGTACTACTATAAAGTCAAAATATTAGAATACTTTTGCTTTTCAAACCTGAAGCTCTGGATGGTCAAGTACAACCACTTGCTTCAGAGGAACCTGCACAAAGAGATTGATATCAAGCTCACATATTATGTTGTTGAACAAGGCCTAAATCAGTAACGAAACTACCATCTACCATGCTCACGAAGTAAAATTTAATCACCACAATTCCAGTAATCCTTTACAAAGTTATCACCAACTATCAACATTCGATGCAATATGATATCTATGCCTCTAATCATCTAATGGCTACACCATTATGAAGTCAAATCATAAATATAAGCAAATAATCACAAGGAGGCAGAAAACTTTTTCAGGTTCATCTAGGTAGCAACTCCAAGATAGGATAGCAATAAGCCAAACACAATATATCACCTTTAACATAGAGCAAGCCTTGTAGAGCTCATCTGTCCTAATTTTTCCCATCCCATCAGCATTACCTATATATATATGAAAAAAGGTAAATTGTAACTCTGTACAAGAAAAGGATTAAATTGAATACAAAGTACTAAATTCTACTACAATTTCCTTTGCACCAAAGATCAAAGGAAAATTGGATAAAAGGAAATTATAAAGCAGAAGGGAACAAAAGCAGAAGTCCGAGAGGCGTGAAGAAATATGCATTTGAAGAATATGTTTGGAAACAGCCTCTATTACTCTTGAATAGCTAGGTGGTAAAGTAGTGTGCATTTGGCCCTCCCTCAAACATTCTATTGGAAGCTTAACCAGCGACAGACATTCAAGAGAATTGGAACATAATTAAAAGCTACTAGGTACATCCAAGATCTAGAATAACACTTTGTTTGGATAAAAGGAAATAGAAGGAAAAGAAAGGAAGATAAAGGGAGGGGGACAAACTCTCTTGTTTGGGTTAAGGATTGGAGGAAGGAAGGGAAAAGGAGAGGTAGAGATCCATTTTCCCTCTATCTTTAATAAGCATCATCCCTCCAAAATTGGAGAGATTTGGAGGGAAAATGAAGCTCACTTCCCCCTCCCTTTCTTTTCCCTTCCCTTCCTCCTCTTTCCCTCCCCTTACTTTCCTTCCTTATTTGCTATCCCAACAAAGCGTAAGAGTAGTCAACATTCAACAAACTAAAATATAAAGCAGGCAAAAATGATGCTAAAGCTCAAGATGAATATCTAGGGCTTGTCTGTAATTGTTCACTAACTAAGAAAGTCATAAGATGATGCAGTATTGTAGATACAAGCCTGTGGGTCTGAGCACAAAGTCCTAAAGTTGGAAATATTGCATTACCAGTAGACAAGCATAAGATGTGAATATTATGCCCTCTTGATGTCAGATAGTTAATCGTTGGAGTGAAGAACCTGAAAAAATAGAATACAGTTAACATAAGTAACATGATACAGAAGTTTAATTTGTATAGTAGCGCATACTCTAACAATGTGGGATCAACATCAAACTCAAGTGACCCTTTGAACTCTGGTCACTCTTTTGGGGCTATCCCTCTTTCTAATTTACCCAAAAAAAAAAAAAAAAAAAAAAAAAAAAGAAACAACGCAGCAAAGAAGAATTCGATGATAATTACACTCCATTGCTTCTTCTAGATTTCGAAAAGTGCATAATTGAATGATCAAATCCTGTCATTTCATAGTATATACAAAAACCATTTTAAACCATGACAAGAAAAACAGATCAACTTACATGGACTCGTCATCAGGATGTGCAATCACGAGCAAGACAGCCTTCTTGTGTAGAGTGTCACCTAAGTAACAAATCAATTTCCATTTCCATTAGCAGATATAGAACACTTCACACATAATTTTAAAGTAAAATTGAAATACATCAACGCTATAAATTCGAAAACGACGCACCTACCAATGTTGAAGTATTGGCCTTTTGTGGGGAAGTAAGATATGTGCAATATTTTACATAAAGAGGCAATCCAAATTACAGAAGCAGAGAGCACAATGAAGAACCAGTCCATCATTCAATCACCTGTCAATTTCAACATTGTATTAGGATAAACTTTAATTAGATTCATAGTTTCATATAAGTTTAAAGATTATATTAACTATAAATCCAGGTATGTAAGCATATAATAAAAGAATCAATAATATGAAATACGATAATTTCTGTCTGATTATAAATGAAATGGAGTTGTATAAAGTCAATTACTCTGTAAAAGAAAATCTGGGTAGTTTGTTAAACATCAAAATCTAAAGTAAGGAAAAAAAAAATATCTCCATTGTTAGCATTTTATCGAACAGTCGGGGTGCATTAAGAGATGCCAATCATTCAATTTTCTAATAAATATATTTTAAATGGATTTATTTTAGCGATAATACGACGTAAAAACCTTGAATTTTGTCTAGCAGACTATACAATTACAAAAAAATCGTCAATTATATGGCGAAAAATCTAAACTTGGGAATAATCAAAATGAAAAAAATCAGATTGAACCCAAAAAAAAAAAAAAAAAAAAAAAAAGAAAAAGAGAATTGAAATCCTATTGAATTGAAGAAGAAGAAGAGAATAAACCTGATTTCGTCGGTGATTCAAAATTATGATTCAAACTTGGGGTGTTCAACTTGGTATGTTTGGGAGAAGAGAAAGGAGGGATATGAGGAAGAAGGAAAAAGAACACAATAGAGGGCAATTTAGTCAATTTGAAGTCCTACTACTCGGCTACATCCTTGATGAGTTCGATCCTTCAATCCCTTTATTTTTATTTTTTTTTATATATATAAAAGTCTAGCACCACATTTTATTAATCATTGGACAACTTGTCCATAAGAACGTAAGGAGAAATTACAGAGGGGCAAAAATTCTCCCACACTTGTTCGCTACTGAACAGTACTACACTAGCAAGGTGATGAGCGATAAAACTCTCATCCCTTTTAACATAAGACCAATGCACATAATCAAAACTAGAACAAATCGAAAAAATATCATTAAAAACCGAGTCAAGATCGGTGAGAAATGTGGAAGCTTTTGAGAGACGAGTGATGATGTGTTGACAATCCGATTCCAAAATCACCTTCTTATACCCATACTTCAGAGCTAGCTTCACCCCAAAAAGTAAAGCACGACACTCAGCAACTTCTGGTGGCCAAAACCCACGAACTTGACGCACCCCAGCAAACGGAACCTCCCCTGCAACGTTCCTGGCAGCAACTCTTAGACCAATCCAGCCATCAGTCTTAAGGCACACATCACAATTGATCTTTACAAAGTCAGCAGGGGTAGGGATTTGATCATAAATTCTCATCAATTTATAGGAGATAATATAGTCATGGAATAATTGATGTGAATTGCTAAACGTCGCCCACAAATCTCCACAAAAGCCCACAAATCTATATTGAATTTACCTTATTGCCCTAGACCTAAAAAAAAAAATCTAACTCATACCCACACTCTAATCACCCAAAAATACGGCAATGTCGAGGCGGCAAGGCAAGGACTTAGCGGCGATAGCGGCGGAGGGAAGGACGGCTCATGGTGGCAAGGTTTTTTTAAAAAAAAAATAAAAAAAAAAAAAAACAGAAGTGGTGGGGCGCCTGGCAGGACGCCCAGCCCTGGTGGTGGCGTCTGCTCCAACCGTCAGAACCAGGGGGCTGGTGTCTGACCTGGACGCCTAGCCACGGTTGTGGCGTTTTCCAGAGGTGCCACCGCCGTGGCTGGGCGTCCACGCCAGAAGCCAGCCCCCTGGTTCCGACGGCCGGAGTAGACGCCACCACCAGGGGCTGGGCGTCCTGGCCAGGCGCCCCACCACGTCCGAATTTTTTTTTTGTCTAATATATTTTTTTTTTTGGAAAATCAGAATTTTTTTGTTAATGTTTAATATTTTTGTTTTATGAGTTAATGTTTTTATTTCTAATATATATATATATATATATATATTTATATATTTTAAATCAGAATTTTTTGCCATATTATTTTTAAATACATATAATTGTATAAAGATTAAATTAATACATTTAACACAAAATTAACATTTAACAAAAATTAACATAAGTAATTTCTGAAATTTTTATTTGTAAATTTCATTTCTATATATAATTTACAAATACAAAATTAAACATAATTTTATTAACACATATTTAAAACATAATTTCAAACTAAACATAATTTTATTAACACATTTTTTTTTTGAACTACACATATAATTTCAAATTTATCAAAGTTAAAAAACCACCAAAAAAAAAAAAAAAAATTAAATAAAATTAAATTTTTTTTACAAAAAGTAGGGGTGGCTTTTAGCCAGGAAGCCGCCACCATGGCGGTGGCTTCTGGCCAGGAAGCCGTCACCATGGCGGTGGCTTCTGGCCAGGACGCCGCCACAGCCATGGTGGTGGCTTCTAGCCAGGACGTCGCCGCCATGGCGATGGCGTCTGGCCAGGACGTCGCCGCCATGGCGATGGCATCTGGCCAGGACGCCACAGCCATGGTGGCGGCGTCCTGGCTAGAAGCCACCGCCACGGTGGCGGCTTCCTGGCTAGAAGCCACCCCTACTTTTTGTAATTTTTTCCCGAGTTATATCGCTTTTTCGACGACGATGACAGCTCTCCGGTGTCCCTCGGCGATTCACTCCAGCTCCACATTTTTCGTGAGAGAGAATTACGGTTTCGGTAAAAATTAAAAAAAGGGCAAAAGAGTCAAAGTAAAAATAATTGTGGGCTTTATGTAGAGATTTGTGGGTGATGTTTAACAAATTCCGATACAATCACATTTGATATATATGTCAATAAATTAGCTATTACAAAGTAGTTATAAATATTACGTAAAAGGTTAATATTATAAAATGTTATATTGGTATAAATACCTATCTAACAACATTAGAAAGAGAAAGAGAGATCGATGGAGAGTGTGGAGACTACCGGTAAGAGGAAAAATTTGTTAAAGGTTTAGGTATGTACTCGTATAAGGAAAAATAAGGGCTAAGCTAACACATTTTTTAAAAAATAAAAAATAAAATTCATTTTATATGTTTACATACCAAGTACTCTGTAGTCTGTACCCCTCTAGAACACCTGTTTCCAATAAATTTTTTTAAAAGAAAATGATTCATTTAAAAAAAAGAACTCCATTATTATTTAATTACGAGGAAATAATAACTTGTATATTTGTCTTCACGTAAATTTTTAATACATAAACTTTTTTAATATTCTACTTACTGACAATTAATCTAGGGTTCATTATATGGCAAGACTTCTTTTAATCTTCTACTTATTGACAATTAAAAGTATTAACCATTCAAATATGCTTAAAAACATTAGACTAAAAATGTTTCAACTAGATAAAATGAAGTACAAAGTCTATTAAAAAAAAAAGTACAAAGTAATAATGCTACCGTAAAATAAATTAAATGATAATAGTTGTTAATTAATTACTTCCTTCATTTTTATAAAATGCAACACACTTCTACAAGCGACCTCTTTTGTAGGGTTTAGTCCCCTATTACTTAACTATTCTCATATATTTCCTCTCGTCTCCATTTTTCACCTTATCCAAAACCCTCACCCCAACACGTCACACAATTTTGGTCAAATATTCTTTTCTTTCCTTTTTGTATCTTTGAAAATTATAATGTATATTCAATACGAAAATTAATATCAAATCAGATATCATAATATTAAATTCTTCTTCAAATTAATAGACAATTAAATCATAAGATAGCCAGTTTTATTCTGACGCTATGTCTTAATAGAAACTAGCTTTTGGGCCCATTCTACGCACGGGCTGTGTATAGGTTATTATTTATTTACTAAAAACATTCAAATAAAAATTCTTTAATTGCATGATAGTTATATAATACCTTGTATCAAATAATTGAAGAACAATCGCTTGCCATAATTTTACATTTGTAAATCAATATATGAAATTACAAAGTTTTTCTTCACCAATTTATTTTTCTTGCACACTTAATATCTTGAAATTATTTTTTATTACATGCAAACAATGTCGTATAATGAAATTAGTTCCTAACTTTTTACACTAAACACTTCTTTTTTTCTAATCATTCATATCTTTCTTATTTGCCGCTTCATTTTATCTCATTTTCAATCATGATATTCATCATTGCAACAATTTTAGAGATATATATGTCTATTTATTTTTTTATTTTTTTATTTTTTTTTTTTGGTTTGGGTGATATGAAAAAAATTTATATTAGGAGAAGATGATTAAGGGTCAATGAGTAAATGGCAAATTCAGTTAAAATGAAATTGGAAGACGGAGAGAGTGAGAGAGGAAGAGGAAAGGGTCGTTTGGTTCACTAAGCTGGAATGGATTGGTATGGATTCTCATACTTGGGTGGTATGGATTCTATATCCCATATTAATCTAAAGTTGTTTGGTTTAATCATGGGATGGATTGATCTCATACTTGAGTACTAGTATGGATTATGAATCCTTAGGGGCGAGGTGGGTATGAGATTTCAATGGAATGGGGTGGAGTTAGAATCCCCCATATATGAGATTCCATACTTATATAACCTAACCAAATGAATAAAACCATGGAATGAATTCTAAATCCATTCCAAGAAGTTCAACCAAACAACCCCTAAGAGAATTCAATTTATTGTATTAAAGTGAAGGTTATAGAAATTAAAAGTCAAGAAAAGAAAGAAATAGTAAAGAAAGTTAAAAGGAGAGGGGTACATGTGGCAGATTGGTTTGTATTTTGGTTAAAAAGAGAGGTGTATATGTGGCGGATTGGTTTGTATTTTGGTTAAAAAGAGAGGTGTACATGTGGCAGTTTAGTTTGTGTTTTTAAATACTAAGTATAGATATAGATATAGATTAAACCATGAATATAGCAACCCTATCAACGGTATCATATCCAGTGGCGAAGCCATTGGGGGGACAAAAAGCTTTAACTTGACAAAAAGCTTAACAAAAAAAAAAAACAAAAAAAAAAAAAAAAAAAAAAAAACTCAAACACACAAATTGGTTAATACCTAATATTACAATTTGACTCATTTTCATTGAGTTTCGGCCTTTTAAACAAGAATTGTCGAAGATCGAGTTGTTTACTAGTTGCCTTGGATTTGTTTGAATTAGGTGAATCTTTTGACATTTCCTAATTAAATTGATAAATATATATCAATTTCCACAATCCACAATTCCACATCATTACATAATAATAAAACCTAAAATTCTAAATTTCTAATTCAACTATACATTTCAATAAATTCACAAAAACAGGAGAAAATAATGCAATCAAAAGTTCACAAAATTAACTATACATTTCATTATTTCAATAAATTCACAAAAACAGAAGAAAAAAACAAGTAATAAACCAATTAACCAACAGATTTCAATATTTAGAGATTTCAATAAGACAATAAACCAACACATTTCAAAATTTCAATAGCTCAATACTTCAAATCTTCAATACCCAGAATAATTGAATAAAAGTATAAACTATAAAACAATTAAACAAGTAATAAACTAATAATTCAGAGATTAAATTCAGATTTAAATACCGTGAATTGGGTCTAGCGACTTAGCGAAGTGAGCGAAGTCGAATAGAGAGCAGCGAGTCCAACGACGAGCCGACGAACGGACGAAGCAGCGAAGGCGGCGACTACGGAGGGACGGAGTGCCGGGAGTGGAGCCGACGAGCGAGAGCGGCGGACTGGCAGAGGAAAGAGGAAAGTTAGGTTTCACTTTTCAGAGTTCAGTTTTCTTTTCTTCCTTCTTTCTGGCTTTCTGTCCGTTACTCTTTTTTTTTTCTTTTTTTTTTAACAACTGTCACCCTATGTCCCCCACTGGCTTTGCCGTCAGGTTCTGGTCAGATTTCAGGTCAATTTCGTGTTATGCTTAGAAACTATCAAAAATAGTGTAAAACTTAATATTATTACAAAATATGAAATTTGGGTCAAATCGGGTCGAATTCGGGTTGTTTGGATTCGTTTCGGGTCGGGTTTGGGTTTCTCTAAGTAACTTCGGGTCGGGTCCAAGTCGTGTTATCGAGTCGGGTCAGGATTTGCCAGCCCTAATCATATCACATACTGTATTTACTCCCCCACACTTGATTAAACATTATATATTATACATTTATACCTACAATAAATAGGAAAACATAATTTTCTACACACTAATAATTTAGCTCAATTATGGAGAACTACTATCTACCACATGAAACACGTACAAAATGTGACATTATTGGTGACCCTACTAGCCATGCTTGTATGATCTCCAACTTAATACATAAGTAAATTCGATGCTTCAAATTTTGATCACTCATTTTTAAATATATATTTCATATCTTTCATTCTATATCTCCCTTCTAAAATCTCTAGTTGTTGAAGGTGGCACTAATGGCGGGAGCTCGAGTTTCCATGGAAGTCGGGAATGATGGTGTTGCCCTCGTCACTTTCTCAAACCCCCGGTTAATGCCTTGGAAATTACAAGTTACATACTCCATCTCAAAATATTTTTTTTTTGTTTTCAAATATATGTATGTAATTCATTTTAATTAAAATTTGTATGAATTCTAAATGCCTAATGATTTTTATTTGGTTGATTTTGGCGAAGCATGTATGAAGATAAAAGAAATATACGATGAAGTTATAAGGAGAAATGATGTCAAAGCCATTGTAATAACTGGTAAGTAGTTATTTTACTCCATAATTGAGCTAAATTATTAAAGTTTAGAAAATCTTTTTAATGTGTACAAGATTTTAATTTAACTTAATCATGGAGTACGTACGTATTTCATATTAGTTACACACAGTAACCAAGCATAAGCTTGATGGATAGTTGGTCGGAAACTATAATTGTTTGGGAGTTAAGAATTCCTTTTAGCTATGGCTTTATTAGTCATATATGATATGAATACGTATTAATTATCACTTATTTTCTCATTTTAGGTGGAAACGGAAAGTTTTCAAGCGGATTTGACCTCAAACTTATTAAGCTAGTGCAAGAGACAGGTAAAACTTAACTTTGCTTACGATTTATTTTCATTTATATTAACAATTTAGCATATTAAATTAGTTATGAAATTGATTATGATACAAGCTAAGGGTACTTGGTTAATATATAGGGGATTTATCTATATTGCCGAAAAGCTTTGCTACTCAATTGATCAACACAATCGAAGGTCTTTGCCCAAAACCAACCTTATTTTTTTATTTGTGGACTTGTGGTGAATTGAATATAATTATGTTAATACATGCATAATAATTACAATACTTGCGATGAAAACGTTGATTTATTGATCGATCTCAGATTCACCAAAGCCGTTTGTTGCTGCCTTACAAGGTTTCGCTCATGGAAGTGGCTTAGAATTAGCTATGGTATGTATGTGACATTTTTCGATCTCGATTAATTACGGTAGCTTTGGTTTGTATTTTTGACATAATTAGGGCAGCTTTGGTTTGTATCACACACAGTGTTGAAATTTATATTATCCTAATTACTAAAGGCTTATCATAGTACAAAATTTTGACATTTATCATATAAAATTTAATTGTGTAGTTTTATGACATAACTAAGGGCCTATCTTTATTTTTTGATATAGTTTATTAAGTGCTAACGTACTTTATCAAGATTCATGACTTTCATTTATTGATCTGACCTATTAATTAGCTTTCTAAATGAATTTATAAATAGGTAATTAGTTCATAGACTTTCATTTACTGATTTATTAATTAGCTTTCTATGTGAGTTTAATTAGGTTAGTTGATAGAGTGATTTACGTGAAATAATAATTAAGTAAGAAATTAAAGAACAAAAATAAGAAAAAGGACAGAAGACACAAGTTTTTACGTGGTTCTCTTTCACTATAGTTGTTAAAGGACCATCTCAACCAAAAGCTTAAATTGATGGTTGAGGCCTACAAATATGTTTTTATACTCTATCACGCCCCCTCACATGAAAGCCATTTGGCCTTGAAATGTGAATGTAGCATGCGCCTCCCGCATACCCTACGCGAAATATTCCTTTTTTGAAAGGAGGGGTGGATGAGATTCGAACTCGTGACCTTTGTGTCACGCTGGCTCCGATACCATGTTAGTGGACCATCTCAACAAAAAACTTAAACTGATGATTAATATGTTTTATACTCTATCAATAGTAATGATGTTGTGACTAGTACAAGATACAACAATTAGGAGTAATACAGGCCGACGAAATCGTATTACCCGTCCATTATTTTGTACCTTTAATTTAACCTCACCTGATAAAACTTCTTATGCATGCCGCACCTTAATCTAATCTCTTCAACTTCTTATCAACAATCGTCCCCACTGCCAATAGGCCATTTCAACAATTCTTCGGCCGATATGACATACTTGCACCTTAACTCTTGATGATGATATATATTAGCTTTTTACATAATTTTTCACTTCTTTGTATGTTCTAATTTTGATCGATCATCTTGACGTACCATAAAAACCAACTATTTGATAGGGCATATTCTTCACTCCTCTAATATCTTTATTGAGCTTTCCCTTTTGTTTCTTTGGCTCTTAAAAGTAGTAGGTTGTGTAGGAAGATCACTCAAACCAATCAAACATATTTTCTTTCTTACATCTTGGCATTTAATTTCTTGTACCCTTCTTGCAACTTCCGCTTCGTATTTTCCAACTTCTTGCAATATGATAGTCATCCAAGAAAGATTTAATTGGTGATGATGACAAAGGTTGTTTGAAATTTTCAGGGAGTACGTTCAACTCTGTTCAACCACGCTGTGTTCGTTAATTTTGGCGACGATGATGATTGTGGTAACTCTTCACGATGAACAATACCTAACCTTTCACACCCAAATTGTTGAGGAAAACTTTCATTTCTTTGCCTTTCCTATGACGATGTTGATGATGTGTTGGCAGTTGCGAAAACGACGATTGTCGTGATACCTCTTGATCAAGAACGCTATCTACTGATGTCTTCTCGTCCAAACTAACAACTTCGTTATAATGGGTCAATTGACCCCACTTATTTATTTTTTAAAAAACTGTTAAAATATTTAAAATAATAATTTATTTAACATTGAATTATTAAATATGAGAAACATAATATAAAAATTATGAGTAATCTAACATTTATCAATACACATAATTATATATGTGTCAACGATATGCAATATAATCTTTATGTAATTTCATGTAATTTGTTAATTTATGAATAATTTTAATATAATTTTTTTTTTATGTTATTTGAACCCACTTGATAAAAATTGTTAGATTCGTCGTTAGGTCCATAATCGTTTCTTTGATGGCTAATTTCACATAAACTTAAATGTTGATTTCATCTCAAATAAATAAATGGTTTAAGTATTTATAACAAGAGGATATTAAAAATTGTTGATCTAATGGCGGTTGTTCGTAAAACAGATTTTATGGATTAGATTTTAGTAAAATAATATCGTTTAGAATAGAATCATTTAAAATGTATGGATTACGATCATATGCGACATTATTATGCACCGACCGTGTAAGCTAACCTCTAATAAATTTTTTTTAACAAAAAAATCATTTTTTTTTACCAAAAATAGCAAAATTAGACTTAAATATTTTTGGAAAATATATAAAAAAATTAAGAAAGAATGTTATTCCGTAAGAATTATAAAAAATATCATATGGAAAATCAAATAAAAAAATGGGAGGAAAAATTGAAGAAAGCGTTGAGGACATGAAATATATATTAAATCAAAGTTATAGTATATTACTTTGGATAAGTAACTAATTATTTTTTATTCAATAATAAAAGTAACCAATTATTTTGAGTATTTTTTTTTAATAAAAAACAAAATTAATTTTTTATTGGTCAACTAATAAATAAATGATTAAACTTTAATACAAAATATTGATTAAATACTTGGATTAAAAGGTTATCATGACTATAAATTTATTGTAGCCATTTGCACCACTTTCCTATTCACGGGCATCTTTAAATTACGTAATGGTAGCAAAGATGGCAGTAACTTAAGCGAAATGTTTTAATATTACACAATCATTGTAAAGATTTTTAAGCTGACTGCAACTATGACAACTGCAAATCAGCTAGCTGTCCACAAAAGTGGTACGCTAGATAAGTCTTGATACATACCCGATATATGTTTGTGTACGGTAATCCTTCACAGATTACTGTTAAAAACCGAACTGCTGTAAACAATAAAACAGAACAATGTTACCGGAATAAGACTGAGTCGCGGACTATGTCGCTCTCTTTAGAACATTCACGGCACTGCCTTTAATTTGTGCAAGCAGCTTGTACGACAACCGGATGCTCCTCAGGATAAAACAGTCTCTCGGAAAAGAAAATTATACCGATGGATTTGCACAGAACCACCGGACAACTAAACACCAAAATTAGGAACAATGCTCGAATAATTTCTGGAAAAAGATTTCTGAAAATATAAACTGTAAGTGGTTTTTTTTGTTTTTTTCTTGTAAAACAGTATTCTGAAAATTGGCGTTCTGTTTGTTGTTGTGTGTAAAACCGTGAAGGAAAAACCATCAATTTATAGAGGGTAGCAGAATGTACCTGGACGGTACAGTAAAAAACGAGCAAAATTGAAAACGTAACAGCTAAAAATTTAATTAGTAAATCAGTTACAAAATCAAGGAATTAATTCTTGTTCAAAAAATTTAAATCCGTTAAAGAAATCCAATCCGGCCCGGCCCGGTTCGGTTCGGCGCGCGTGTGTGTTAGATTGATTTGGTAGGTAAGTCCTTTCACACCCACCTATATAAACTAAGCAAAGCTTTCATTTTCCACCAATGTGGGACTTTACCATTTTCACAAAATTCACACTTTAAAACAACTTTGTTCCAACAATTACTTATGAGATCTAGTCTTGTACTGTCAGGGATGTCATGCACGAATTTCTGCTACAAAAGTACAACTTGTAATGCCAGAGCTATTATTTGGACTAATTCCGGGTCTTGGAGGTAAGTCGTACTCATCATATTTACATTTGCTTTACAAGCTAATTGCATACTCCTACAAGATTTTAATAAATATATTTTCGGCATCTATATATAGGGACACAACGTCTTCCCAGGCTTGTTGGTCTAATGAAGGCAATTGAGATGATATTAGTAAGTCTCATTTACTCTAAAAGCCTAAAA